TTGTTCAAAATTGAATTAACATACAACCTAGGATTAAATACTATACTAAAATTCTCGAGGAACAACGGTTAAGGAATATCCACAATTCTCTTTGATATGCTATTTAGATAGCAGTGTTTTAGACAGGGGGGTTCTTTTAACTTGTTTAATTTTCAGCTCGATTGTCTTTGCAGCCCTATATTTAGAAGACTAAAGACTACAAGATAAACCCGGAATTCATCAACAGAAATGATAGGTATGATGGGAATGGTAACTGTTTGATATCATTTATGGTGTCGAACCACTACTCAAGACAAACTTACAGGGATTCCAAAGTTGGGAGGGGGGGGGTTTTAAAGTTGAAAAAAAACTGCATTTATATCAATTTAGCATAGTTTAAGGTAGGTCAGATAAAGGTACAGAAGTTTCTATTGGCATTGAAAATTATATCTCAGTTTTGCTAAATAGCATTATTAAAATCCATGAGAAACTAAATGATATGGTGTTATCCTTTTAGTTATGAATTTTTAAATAATTTTAATTTTAAAATATACTTGAATATAAATTCCAAGTGTCTGGGAAACCGATTCTCTATGAAAATAAAATGAAGAAAATGCAATAAAAAGGATACACTGTAGTTTAAAGAGTTATTGCCCTTTGCACATTTCTTAAATGAATAAATGGTTTATTGTTTTGTGTTTTTAAAAATACATGTAGTTCCCTTTTAAATACTTTGGTTAAACACTATTTTAATTACACATATTTAAAACCATTCTTTTTTTAATTAAATATTTGTTTTTATGCATCGGAAATGAGGTTAAATTCAGGAAGGGATTTGCAATAATGTATAATATATAACATTAGAGTGGGATTAACCTAGAAAGACTGCATTTGGAATCTTGATTTTTAATTTTTTAACATTTACAAATTCAGTAATTTATATACTTTTTCCTTCAGATGCCTTGAATATATGAATGTTTCTCCAAGAAGAAAAGGATGGAGATTTCAAACACCTTCCCGAAACTTTTATTACAAGTTAGTATATCTTTAACTGTTTACTGTAATGGACAGTCTTAAAATTTACCTAATGGGTACCTAGTAAGAGAAAATTAAAATTTTGTCAATACAATGTATAATAAAGAAAAAAAAAGAAAATACTACTATATACATGTATGTGCAAGGCTTTTAATTTGGAGTCTTTGGGCCTGTGTAATATAGTTACCTGTAATGACCATTTCTGAAATAAAATTGAGGAAATTACATATTTGTAGACTCCATATTAATCCTACCTCCAGCAAAGTAGAGGTTTACCTAGAACATTCCTCAGGGAGGAAGGTCATCTACGCTTCATCATCAGAGTGGGCGATAAGGCAGTTCTTATACAGGTACATGTACTGTTGATTAATTTGATGCCGTTCATTGAAAATTTGATAAAATTAAGGTTTATCCTAATGAATATCATCAGTTAATCAAATAAACTGAATTTATTACTCTCAAATGTTTACAATAAAAGCTGTGAAGGAATTGTGGGAAATATTTAAATCACAATGAATATATTTTGATTAAAACAGCTGATCTAGTAGAAGCTATATTTAGACTGTATGTAATAGACAGATCTTGATTTTGTGTTATGTAGTGCCAGAGATGTGTCAGCGGCTGTCAATACCGGTCGTGTGTTTGCCGATCGCTGTCAGAAAGCCGGCATTGTCAACGTGTATTATGACCCAGTCTCAGAAGGTCATGGAGGGGATAAGGTACGTTCAGGCATGAAAGTTTGGTTGGAGTTATTTTCATAGCTAAAAGCTGACTTCTTATTTTTTTTAGAAATATCCAGTTGAAATATTTATTGGTAGTATCAATGTATGCTCTTATAGATCTAGTTGAGTGATACTAATGTGAATAAACCACTGATTTCAAAAATAGTTACAGGTTCTTGAATGATTCTCTTTGAAATGCATAAAAAATATTTTTAAAAAAGAATAATTTTAAAAATATAGGTTCTCAGTTTCAATGTAAATTTCCCATGTATAAGTAATTACCGGTTATCCTCATTTTAGGTAAAGGCTTACATTGTAAGTTTTAGATCTGTCAGTAAATAATCATTATTATTGTAGGTTAAAGCAGTGCTGAATGCTTTGGAAGAGTCTGGCATTAAAATTGGAGAAGAGGAGGTCATCGAGGGAGAATTTAAACCTGGAATCAAATATGACGGCAAAAACCGAATCGGATAGAAGAAACGGCCGTATGACATACAGATTGTATAATGATTCATATTTAAATGTGTTCTAACTTCTATGTCATTAAAATTTCTAAAAAAAAATATAGAGTTTATTTTTATGTTTCCTGTTGAAAATAGCAAAGATGTGTTTATTGAATATCTAACCAAAAGAACCAAGAATTCTTTTTTAATGGAGAGTTCCCCTATGGCTGTGAAAACAGAGAGGATCATTGTTTTTTTACTTCTCCCCTTCTCTGCCCCACTTATATGTTTCGTTTATTTTTTAGCACATGTAATATGGACCCCCCCCCCCCGGCCCCCCTAAAAAAAGATGGATAGACTTAACACTAGCTCTGAAAATTAATACCACAGCTTCAATTTCAAACCAATAAAATTTAGCCCCTCGTTTAAAACTTCTTGCATAAACACAGGTAGTGACTGATTCTTTTTAAAAAAAAATTGACACGCGCTCAGCACTAGAAGTGAAAGTCACGGGTCTTTTGGATTTGACCTTAAAAATGTTGGTCCCGTGTCACGGTCGGCGTTGGCACGATATAGAACGCTCACTTCTTAATGGCCCTGAATGCCGAGTATAGGTGTAATTTGAAGCCCCTCTTTGGCATACGCTGACGTCTCTTTATGTCCATGCAGTGAAATATTGTCGACTGGGACCTTAAAAGTATACACGCTATAACTTGCGCCAGTTAAAATAGGATTGGAAATTGATACAATTTGTTTATCAAGAAAAGTTACGAAAATACTGTAAATTACACCATTAAAATTAAACGCGTTACAAAGTTATCAAATTATAATTATTTATTATCCTGCAAGGAAAGAAAAACAGCTATTTTTAAATAAATCCATCACGTGACGCCTTTGCTACTTTTAGATTGATAAACACACGTGGCGTAAAGAAAACAAGGTAGACCGTTTGAGATACTACTCACTTTTGATGTGGAGCTGCTTACTTAATGGTACTTTACCTTTTAATGTATTTAAGTATCAACAATCTTCTCTGTTATGATGCATATTAACCTTACATTAATAATTGTTGTCAAAATGCAACATACCTCGTTGTCTGTGATTTCCCGTGGACATGTGTTTCTATATATAGACCTACAGTTTACGCACTTCCTTTATCATATATTCATGAAAAGACTGAATTCTTAATTTCTAGGTATTGTTTAATTGTTTTGTTATTACAACGACATCTATAGTACAATTTTGTGGAAAGTATTATTTTTATTATACTTCATGTGTTTTAAATCGTTGATCATTTTGTTTCAACTATATTCGGCGTTCATGTTATGTCTTCTGACGATACGCCTGACTTTTCTGTCCTTCGTTAGCATTTGCTGATGAATGATTTGATAGAAGTCCATAAAACCATCTAACAAACGACAAAAATTCTCATACAGAAATGATAAAGTCATTCATAAAACTGACAATGCCAAACTAATCTCCTTATTGCTGGTTTCCAACTCTTTTCTCTAAACAACATTTACAGCGAGGTAACCCCCCTTCGATAAAAAAAAAAACCCTGTATCATAAATTGATATAATAGAAAACAACAATAAACTTATTTTTTAATATTCCATAAATTTTATATTGACACAAACAACTAGAGAAATTTGGTTGAAATAAATGATAGCAATATGCATAATATATATTACAAAGGGACAACACGATTTAAGATAGAACTATAACATGTATAAAGGCACTGTGAGCAATAAGTCTCCCATATGATTACAATGGCAAAATCCATGTTTTGCTCTGGAAAACCCAAAAACATGGTCAGATTAAAAAGTAAAATAGGAGGTCACAATATGGAATTGTGTAATAAAGAATCTGTAGAAGTGGTACCGGTATAGCAGGAGTTGCGGAAAAAAGATAGGTACCCCAAAGCGTAGCAGACGGACAGATATCCCCATCACTGTATATATCCTCCCATTTTTCAAGCGGGGGTATAATTAAAGATTCCATCCTCATAGACTTTCGTTGCAATAAAACATCAGAGAAGATGAAAAAAATCTATTGCTCACAAAAAAAAATTCGGTTACAGTTTGGACAATGAACAAAGATATGACAGTCTCCTTCCCTCCCCTGGTTTTGGCCTTTCAGTGATTTGGCGAGCAGAAATGGAGACTAGATGACCTCACAGCTGTCTGTATAATTACAGAAAAACCAGTCTGTTTAACGCCCCTCTCGATTTTTCACTCAAATGGAGACGCCACTACTTGCAGGTGGAGAGCTGCAAATTTTGACCTATACTCGGCACTCAGAGCCATTGAGGTGCGGAGGATCGTTTTCGTGCCAGCACGTACTGCGACACGGGTCCTCGGTTTCTACAGTCTCATTCGAAGGACCGGTCATTTTGTGCCACAAACCTGCGACGTAAAGAAATAAAATCCTTACTGTGCGACTCTAGAACTGACGCTCTTACGACTGCACCACGCGGATGAGTTACTAGTATTAACAATAACAAGCAAAGCATTGGAAATGAAGTACCTTTAATGTAAGTACATACAAATAAAACCAATTTCAAAGCAACAAAAACAAACAAATCAAGATGACAATCTCTTGGCCAAATTCTTTGTGAAATAAATATTTCGAAAACATAAAAAAAAAAAGAAATTGGTCTGGCAATCCAATATTGAACCTTATTCTCAACCCGTTTACAATCCATAAAAAAAACTTTCGTTGACTCTATCATTCGGGTATTTTTGGCAAAATGATGAACATCGTAAACAAGCGATGTTATTCCCCCAATTTTTTCTCCTTGGCGGTTGTGTTACTACCAAAAGGATAGATCCACCATTTGGCGAGAAAAAGGCGATGTCTGTTAAGGAACACCTTCTATTTCGCTTCTCCCTGAGATCTGGAAATGAACATTATATCCCTCATAAAGGTAGATAAAGTTTCTCATCTCTAGGGGGAGGCTCGGTTAGGATAGAAAGCATATTGTTATGGCTACCTAAAATGTCTCTAATAGGAATAGTGGTAGTGTTTCTTTCTCGTTGAATTGGAAAACGAATCTTATCGTTAACATGCATCGTTTTTACTGGTTCATGCACAGTCTTTGATCCTGATATGTGGACTGGTTCTTGTCCGATTTCTGGATCATGAATAGAGATCGGTTCATGTGTCATTTTTGTGTTTGACTGGGGGATCGGTTCACGTCCGATTTCTGGTTCATGAGTAAGGATCGGTTCATGTGTTATTTTTTTGTTTGACTGATGGGTCAGTTCATGTCTGATTTCTGGATCAAGAGTAAGGATCGGTTCATGTGCCCTTTTTGTGTTTGACTGATGGATGGATTCATGTGTTACTTTGGGTTTTGTAGTTTGGTTCTGGTCGTATATCATATCTGGTTTAGGTGTACGGGTCGGGCTCTGTGTGGATTCTAGTGCTTCAGTTACCCGAGTGGGCTCTGGAGTTGATTGTGTAATGCGGTCCATTAGAATACTTTTTGTCATCCTTTCCTTTTTCGCTGTCATCATGTCGCTCTTTTGATTTGACAAGCCAGAACCGACTGCTTCTGGAAATACAGCCATTTCTTCTAAAACCAGACTCTGTAAAGGACGTTGGGGCATGCGCTCACTGAAACTTACACTGCCATCCACTTGAGGCGCCAATGAAGTGTGTGAAGAAACCATGTTCTGTGTGTATCTTTCAAAATTATTGTCTAACACGTCAAGATGGTTTTCAGAAATTAAATCGATCAAATTTTTTACCTCCGCTTTTGATGTGTCTGGTTTCACTCGAATGTTCGAACCTTCCGATTTCATGTGAGTTTTCGGCATTTTCGATTTCATAGGAGTGTCTAACGTTTTCGAATTCACACGAGTGCTTTTTACAGATATTTGTTGGTTTATTAGAGGTTTTGACTGAAATTGAGTTGCTTTTTTCATTTTATTTGGTTTTTCAAAACGAAGTTTGTTAACTTTTCGTTGATATGCAGGTTGACGCACAGAAAAATGGAATCCACCATTAACCATTTTATTACTTTTCCGTGCGCTGTACGAACTGCGATGGTCGGCACCAAGGTTGAATGACTTACCAGCACTTCTCTGTCTATTGACTAAATTCAAATTTGAAACACTTTTTCTAGATGGTGATTTTAGAGCCGTATTATTCACTGGTTTCGGTGTTTTTCGCACCTTCTGATGTAGAAGATTTCGCTTTGGGTGTGAATGATGTATTTTCTTTTCTGGATTTCTGACAGTGTCAATTTTTTTCAACTTATATGTTGGATTTGAATACTCTTTTATTTCTGGTTCTTTAAAAAGTTGTGTATTTACCATTTTGCCTTTGTCAGATTTCTTTTGAGCGGTAAGAATTTGTGACTGCCGAATGAAAATTTCCCCAAATATCTTGTAAATATCCCTTGGTTCTAGTTTTTCTTTAAAATTTGGAATATGATTTCTTGAGAAGATGTCCTTTAGTTCTTCTGGAAGCATTTTTCCAGAAATTTTATTATAATACCCTGGCAAGATGTCTTTGCTAGTTTCAGGGCCATTTTGAAAACTTTGATGTTGATTCGCTTTGTGGCCACCAGAACTGATTTCCATTCTTTTTGCTGGCAATTTATTTTCATGTGAATGCGTGTTCAATGCAGTTCCATGCAGATGGCTATCATGGGGGTGATTGGAAAGGCTTGATCCGATAGAACCATGAAAACCACTGTCTTGCAGCAGAGCCTTGGAAACGTCATGATCTCCAAGGTTGGAAACATGATGACTGACTGCAATATCTGCTACGGAATATTCTGAAGAATGGGACTTGTGTTTAACCATTGAAGGATGGCTACAGTAAACTTTCCGGCCATTCAAAGGTTGACAAGGCCTGAAATTGTATTTTATGTAACTGGTGCTTGGTGAGTGATGACCAGTTGTTTCTAGTGCATTAACAGCATTGTTGTCCGTACTGTTTTGCTTCTGTTTAGATTTTACGGGCCAAGGTTCGTGTGGACCATGGTTTTCCTCCACATGTTCTTTTAGATGTCTGAGTCGGTTTATCTGTAAAATACAAAGGAAAACATGGCTT